AAAAATAGAAAACAGCTTTGCTTCTGAGAAATACAAGGATTATTTAGAGTCTAGCCACCAAAGAATAAACAGCAGGTAAACACACACTAGAGAGTCCACAGATTTAAAATATAATGACTGGTGAGTATTAGTTTCACCTTCGTGCTGTGCTGGTGTATTACTGAGTGACCTTCATTGTCCAGTAGCAGTGGATGGACACTGATCATTGCACTGACATGTGTCAAACTCCACGAACACTAATGTTGCCCAAAGCTACTTACAAACTTCTAGTGGTGACTTACACTGTGGAAATGTGATTGACAAGACCTGCTGGTAATAATACAAACTACATGATCACATTAAAACATGTATCTCTCATTCCTTTTCCATTTCTGGTGGTTAAATGCTTTTATTTTTGAGCTGAGTGAATGCCATGCTTTTGTCAGTCAGATATAAGAATATAATATTACTAATCCTTGTATATAGGATAGCCTAACTTGGGACACATTCCTCATTTAAAAAGAAACAAAAAAGAAATTGTCATTTAGATCATCTACATCGCTGTAATGTTAGCAAATTTCTATATATCTCAAACCACACATCGTATTAAACTTCAAAAAAGTTTTTAATACATAAAAACTACAAACCAAGATAAACTACTCAGTGCAAAATATGAGCATAAAAGCTTTTGCAGAAGGGTAGGGTCATCACAAGAGTCTCAAAATGTTTAATTTTTACAAAGTCAAGAATGCATTTTTATCATCAAGATGGATGGTAGGTCAGTATAATCCAGTTTGTGGATGATACTGTGTGCAGATTTTAGAATTTCAACTCTATAGAGTTCATTTTTACTTCAGGAGAATTAGACAGTGCCCTATTTTCTATCTTAAAGAGCCAGGAAAGCTGCTTGCATTCTTCTATGCAGATAAGGTGCTCTTTTTTTCCCCTTTAGCAGTGCCTACAGCAGAGTGTTTTTCATGCTTGTGGTGTGATCAAGTGATCACTTTCTTAACTGTAATCAGACTTGAAAACGGAACACATTGGGCTTACCCTTGTAGCTTGGAAAATGTACTGGTGCCATGATAGAGTCAAACTGTCATTTGTTAGGTGAGTAAAAAACAATTTGGCTGAGAGTTTGGAAAAAATTGAGTCATTTGTTGTCTCAATCTCTACCCCACCCCCCACTTTGATAGTAATAGGTATGCATGGTACAATCTGATATAAATAGTGAAAGGGAGGTGGGGTGGAAGACAAAGAATAGACTGTTGGGAGGCCAAAAGAAAAAGAAAAAATGAAGTAGGATACTTACTTACATCGTAGAAGACAAGAAGTAAAAGATAGTAAGTGTAACTACAGCAATCATTCCTGAAGACTGAAGAAATTTTCAGGTGAAAGCCAAGAAATTCCAAGATCTAGTAGCTGTCTCATTCCTCAGAGTGGACAACATGAGGTCAGCTTTTGGTAATTCTATCACTCTACAGGGCACGCAGTGCAGTGTGGGAAAAATCCTAGCATTGCTTTATGGTACAAAATTAAGAATAAGGAGATAAATTTGCAGACAGAGTTTAGAACCTTTGAAGAATACACACAATGCCAGGATGCTGATTAAATTTGGAAGACAAAAATGACAATTATCTCACTGAAAACACTTGGATATAATGATCAGAGATTCCAGTTCTGATAAATTCATATACTGATTATGAGTCATCTCAAGGTTTTTTAGGAAGTCAGAAAACACTGGCAATTGCATTTTATAATGAACTAAAGAGAGTCAGGGTTATGGATAGAGTAATTTACAAAAGAGTAAAGAAGTTATCAGTTGTAAAGGAAAATTTATTAACAATCAAAATCCTATGCTTATTAAGCATAAACATAAGGATTTAGATCAATTTATAAATTTTTCATTTTCAAGCATCACTGCAGCAAAATTTTAATTTTGGTCATTTTTGTCCTGCTCCTGTTATTTCTCTGCTCTCCTGACTCTGTCAATGGGTTCATTTGAAATCATTCTATTTAAAAATCACAATAGGCAAAAACATTAAAGTATGTGTGCTGGAATTTGATATCTATTACATTGCAATATTTGCTCTATCCCCTTATTAGTAAGATGTATCGGTCAAATGCTGAATAAAGTGGTTTAGAAAAATAAAATGCTGGACTAAGTATATCTGGAACTAGAATCTAGTCTTAGTTTTGTCATTGATTTTGAATATTTACAAAAAAAAACCCTATAACCTAGCTGAATGTGTTCACTTACCAATAAAATGAAGGTGTCGTAAGATTTCCAACAGTATTTTGAGAGGGAATTGGATAAAGTCAGTTAATAATTTGTGCGTGTTATTGTAAAAAAGGCCGTGAGAATTCATACATATTCTGGCTTCACTGAATTACTCAGTTTTTCTCAAAGGAGAGAAACTGCACTTTAGAGTAATCACAATTGCAACAGGATCAAAAACACATAGCGGTGAAAGGTAAAACAGGTTCTGTAGAGAAGGGAGGACAGAAGAAAAGGGTTGGCGTGGAGAAGCTAAGAACAGGATGCAGAGAAAGGAGATGAAACACAAAGGAATTACAGGATACAGTGAGAAAAGTCAGGGAAACAAAGAAAAAGTGGAAAAGAGGAAAAAAGAAAGGATGACTTCATTTCCTTTTTTTAAATTTTTATACTGGGGATCAAACTCGTGACCTCACGCTTGCCAGGCGCGATGACTTCATTTCTAGAGCTGGGATATTTCAGGTACCCACTTTCACTGCTCTAACAGCCAACTCCCCATCCTATTTTTTAATCATGTGCGTTAGAGTTGGAGACTCCTTTACCATTTGGAAGCTTTGTCCTAAGTCAGAGTCCACCAAGCCAGAACCAATCCTTGTCCCAGGGCACTGCTACATGAACTCTTGCTATTCCCTCTCACTTAAATTCTTCTATTTCCAAGTGAAGGTTTTATAAAGCACTCCAGGTGGAGCCAGCTAATTCTGATCTCAGCTTTATTAAAATGATAACAGGAGATGACTCCTCCTTTTCAGTTATGGGCTTACCTAAGGCGTAGCGGAGCTCAGCACAAACACCTTTATTTTGCTTCCTTTGTACCTTTGGTGGTTCTTCCTGGAACATTTAAAAGTCCTGTTTCTTCACAGGTGTTCCCATTAGTCTGGGGATCAGGCGCATTTGGCTCTTCTTCTGGAACAAACAACTCAACACAGACAGTATCTATGGATACTGTTCCAACGGACTTATGTTGCTGGACAATGTCAAGTTTGAGGCTGTTGGTCTGAGGCAAGACATAATCTGGGATTATAAAGCAGAGGAATGATAGAGGAAGAAAAAGACTAACAACTTTTTTTGAGACTGCACATATCTTTGGATCTCTTTACTTTTATCCATTTTAATGTGTTATTGTAGACATCTGAATCACTGTGTTAGTTTCTCGCATTTATCCATGATGGTAGTTCATAAAAACACACCCATTAGGTATTGATAGCAAAATTCAAACTTAGTCTTCTGGGAACACTACTGAGAAGTTAAAAGAATATACGGGGGACTTTCAACAGCACTATTAACAAAAACACACACAAAGGCTTCCACTGGAACTTAGGACCCCTGAGTAACAGGAGGTACAGAAACAGGAGGTAGGTCTCTAAAATGCTAATGAGCAGTAACAGGAGTTCAAGTTATGAAAAGTTAAATTCCTGCAGGTGGTTCATATATCAGAAGAGTCCTTTGGATTGAGCATACTGATAGTCTTACAAACACAGCAAGATTTCAACTCTGACTCTTTCTATGAAAAAATCAAGAACAGGTGACTTTTTTAAAAGTATTTTTTCATCTGGTTCTTGTTGGTACCATATGACAGAATTTGATGTTTTTCGGCGATGATGAAGGGAGGTTTCATAAATTTAGTACTATCGTAATTTGGCAAATTCATTCCCCTTTTGCTGTTATTTTCCTCAATTTAATCCGTTCTCCAAAATTAGGTGGGTATAGCCAAAAGTAAAATTCCAATCGAATTTGTAATGTTTTCTACTCTTTGTATCATTTAAATGTAGAATAATTATTAGAGAATGTGATAAATAACGATGAAATTCTGCAAATACGCATCAGTAAAGGAAAGCCCGAAGTCATCTTCAATGTGATAGCAAACTTCACATTGGCACGAGAGATCAACAGAGCTGAAGCTAAGCAAAATGGGCTCGGATGCGCCTTTTCCATTGCTGGCCCTGAAGCAGCTGTAACAGAGAGGATCTCTCCTGGCAAAGCATAAACTGTATTTGTAAAAGCTGAAAAATGAGGTTTGTATGTACACAGTGACGGTGTACCAGGAAGCGGAACTGGATGCTAAATTTAACTTGATTCTTACGATTTACATAATCTGGGATTATAAAGCAATACCAGCGTCAGGAAGAAAAAGCAGGACTAGTATTTACTTTTTCCAGACACGTTCTATCTTTGGATCCCCCCCTATTACTCTTCTTCATTTTTATGTGGAATTATAGATGTCTGAATCACTTTATCACATCTGTTTCCACCATTTGTTCTATGTTATTGAACCACCTCTGAAACCGAAATCCTTAATTTTATCTTGATTTTTAAGAAATGCTGGTTTCTAATATTTCCTGCCCACTTCATGGACCCCTTGTACAATTCACTGTGTACCCTGGCACAAGCCACAAGTCTGTTTGCTTGGTTCCCATCTCTTCTGTAAAAGGGTTTAGTCTCTGACATAGATAGCACTCATATCTATTGCAAAAGTAAAAAAAATTTAATATGGAAATCTCTGATGAACTGAGAGGTCATGCTTAGCAAGCCCTGGAATCCTATATACACTCTTCTGGTGGACTTCACAGAATGAGGAAGGCTGAGCAATGACTGAGATTAAAATTGTTGCAACCACATGTATCCAAGCTCTGGGACAAGAAATGGGACATATACACAATGGCAAATAGTTTAAATGAGGCTGGCCAGCCCATGGTTCGGTCTTCGGTATTTGGAAGGTGTGTTCATGTACAGAATTTGCACCAGAAAGTTTTTATAGCAAACTTTTGTTTTGTCAGAAGTTTATTTTATTGGTAAAATATTAAATAATATACAGAATTAAAAACTGCACTTACACTTCTGAGAAGAAATAAATCTTGGACAAATTATATGCTTGTTCCTGAGATTCCCTAAATTTATTCCAGTAGCTGTGCACTCAAGACAGTACAAACCTTTATAATATAATCCTTTTCACAAAGTATTACAAAGTTTCTGCAGCTTTAGTGTACACACATACAGACACACACTCACACATGCATGTACAACACTCATACACATATACATAGTACCCACATATATGCACACAGCATGTATGTGTGTAGATTAAAAACAAAGAAAATACAAGTCCCACATTTCAGTCTGCAGTGATAAATGGTTTCGCGGAGGTCTCCAAATCAGTGTATAGCAGAGTGACTTGTCACCAACCTGCAAAGACTGTTTCAGCATTTCCATAGTAAACCCCATTTTCTGAGGTATGGTATTTGAGCCTAAAATAAAAACTACATTACACTGAGCAAACCTGACATACAAGGTCTGGAATTTTAATTTTACATACATTTATATATATATGTATATATATATATTTCTTTTTTTAAACAATAGTTTTTATCTCCTCAAATTATTAGTTTGAAAAAAATGAGGTTTACTGGTTTGACCTTTTTTTTTTTTCATTTTGCTTCTAAAACTCAAAATATCCTAGAAACTGTCAAGCAATTAGTCTTTAAAATAGTCTAATCACCTTTGGTATTGTTAAAGAAAAAATATTTTAAATGGCCAAGACATATACTGTACAAAGCAGTAACTGCCTTTCAAAGAAATGCCGAAGAAATGTTATTATTATTTTTTAAACAAAACATATATTTACATTACAGCAGTTTTACTACAGGAACATAGGTATTAAAAAAAAAAAAAAGAAAACCAGCATACTGCATATAAATATGTATGATATGAAAAATACCTCTCAAATTTGTTATGAAAACAGGGCTGCTCTAAATATTTAAAAATTTTTTATCTCCAGTAGGTGATATGTGTTTAAAATTGACCTAGGTGCTTTGTTTCATTTAAAAATTCATTTCCAAAATGAGAGAAATGAAATAAGAATACTAAATATCAGTTTCTTCACTTACAGCATTAGACAAAGGTCTAAGAAGAAAATGCAGTCTGCCAGAATTTCCCCTTTAGGATACACTTCTGAGGCAAAAGATCACCAATTTCAGTGGAAATGTAGCCTAACTAAAGAACAGGGGTCAGACTGGTGGTTTCTGCGCTCTCATCTTTTGATTGTGAAGTGTTTCTCCCTTGGCTTGTTGTGTCCTTTAATAGGCTACGACTTCGCGTGCGTGTGCGTGCGTGTGTGTGTGTGTGTGTGTGTGTGTGTGTGGTCATTAATGGAAGAAAGATTAGGTCGGAAAGGAAAAACAAAAATCACCATAGTTTTTAAGACTTCAAGGGGAGTATTGCACTTGTACAAAAAGAAGAGAGTATTTTTTTAACTAAAAAGCAGGAGCAATCATTTTGAGATTGTAAATAACACATGGTCTAAAAGGTCTGGCTATTAAGAGCGATTACGGGGCCTGGGACCCCCTCCAAACCTGGAATATTATTATAGTAACGTTAAAGCACTTTTCTCCCAATGGGGAGAAAGTTAAGACTTCATTTTATGTTTTTAACATCTTTCTAAATACTTACAAAAACTGTCTAGTCTCTCATGATTTACAGTTTCAGAGGAAAGCCAAACAAGAAGGTAAGATTCATCAAAAAAAGGAAGGCAAACACATGGAGTCCTGTTTTAGGTACCAACACTTTTGAGTGGAAATTACAGAAGGGTTACACAGCTTCTTCCTCTCCATCAACCACTTTTCTCTTTACTACAAAACTACACTTGAGTATAAAAATATGCCAGCAGATTATACAGCAACAAAAGTCACCCAAAATTAAGACTGAAGATCAATGAATTGGAAGTTTAGAGCTGACCTTACTTAATCCTCAAACCAGGCTGAGGAAAGAGAGGCAAAGACTTTCAGAGCTGATGGAAGGGAGGGGCTCAGAGAGGAAAGAGAGGTGACAGCAGTCACACCCCAGGAGACCGAGTGTATTTAAGATCCAGGAGACAGTCAAATGCTCTAAATCACAGTTTCAGAAATGGAGTCACTTAAAATAACAAAAAACAAAACCGGATTCCTTCTCTGGTTACAGTGTACCTGTTTTTGTTTTAAAGATCTACTTCCAGTAAATTAAATTGCGTGAAGTCCTGCTAAGTGTATAGGAGGGGGTTTGGTGACCTTCACCTGTCCAGGAAGGGCTTCTTACTGTGTCACGTGAGGTAATGTGGAGGCCCGGTTCACTGCAAACTGGTTTTATCTGTACCTACGTGGAGTTGTGTGCTATACCTTGTGTGACTTAGCACAGGGCCTCTAAATTTTATATTTTATTCACAATAAAAAGGACACCTTAGAAAAGTAGTCACTGACGTACCACTCTGTACGGGATAAAGGGTAATTCACAACAAATTTATACAGAAAATGTACAAATGCAACGCTATGGGAGATAAAGCCCAATAAATATAACTGCGAACCGATTTTTAAGAGTGCCTGTGAAAATATCCACAAACTTACAGTACAGCAAAAACAAGCCTGAAAAGCTACAAACAGAATGTTTCATAAAAACCTTATAGAAGTTCCAAAAATTTAGGTCTCTGCAAAAAATGTAAAAAATATTCAAGGTGTCATTATTTGGCCTAGCAATACACTACGAGAAAAAGAAACACTAGCATATCACAGCTTCTTGGTCATATGATATTTGCTTTATATAATCAGCAGCTTTTTTTTTTTTTTTTAAAGCTGTCATATCCTAGCACATCCACTGCAAGTAATACACAGCTACGGTATTAAACCATTTGAGATTATGCTTTGGAGAAGAGCCATGTGATATGACTGCTCAGTTTTGTTTTAAGGAAAATTACTTGCTTTTTAAACATTATTCCATAAAACAACAAAAGATTAGAAGACAGTTTCAAGACTAGAATGACACTAGTCTGGGGGTAGAAATTGAAAGCAATACTGTATGTGGTTCTCCAAAAAATTCTGCTAATAAATCCTTATTCTTCCATAAAAACAAAACAAAAGCAATATACCATAATTCAGTTCACAGTTAAAATTTCACACTGTATTTTACCTGTTTAATCTTGTAATGGTATTAAAGAAATACCATTAAACTGAAAAGATACTAAAATCTGGTTTTAAAATTTCCTTTTAACAGCTGAGCTGAAAGTTTCTGTATTAGAAATTGCTTTTGCAGTTGTGCCCTAAATACACAAAGATGAATTTTGTAGTACTCAATTTTAAATGATTTTTAAAAAATACAGAATAAGTGTTGCAGAGCTAACACAGCTCATCAGCACTCTTCAATGCATTTTTAAAAGGCACTGATTTAAGACATTTTAAAAAGGATTCAATACCTTAAATTCAAGATTTTAAGAGACCAGTTACTGTATATTTTAATTATTTTGCAGCAACTGGATTAAAAGTATTTCTAAAATAACTTGTATATATACAAACTTCAATTTTATCCCTCACTTTTTATTTTTCTTTTGGATTCAGTTTTCTGCTGTAGAATAATCATACAAATAGTTCTTATTTAAATAATATATAAAATACAACTGAAGAAAACCACAAATGTAACACTACTTTTTCAAAATGAACAATTGAAAATATCATAGCTGCTACCTTTTAGTCTTATGCTCTGGGTGGAGGGGATATAATTTTTGTTTGTAATTTTGTAGCCTTTTCTGCTCCTTTTCTACCCAATCAATAATTTTGGATATAGGATAAAGTTTAGAAAACACTTAAAACATAATTTTCATCTGAATGCCTTCTCTGAGGTAAATTTTGGTAAACTTTTATAAAATATATAGACTTCATGCTCTTATGAGCTGTGTAGTTGTGATACAAAACTACAAACAAAGCTCATGAAAATATTCTCTTTTTGCCAACAGTTTGCTGAATTTCTGTATTTCTGTCCTATTCAAAAAAGAATTTTGCATTAAGTTTTTATCAACTAGCTTAAAATCTTTGATTTTCATTGTTTCACTTTGTTCTGGAAATAGACAATAAGAGCCAAGATTTAAGTTTAATAATTGCCACCAGCCTTAATGATACACTAATAACTTCCTTACTATTTCTTAATGCAATGTGAAAAAGTAAAGCTAATTGCTCAGGTATCAACTATAAAATTAACTCTGTCTCAGTAACATATCCGATAACTCTAACTGCTTCTTTTCATGAATTTTCTTTAGTGGACTGTAATACACATGTACACATACACCATGACTCGTACACACAGCTGCCTGTGTGTACCACAGGATAGACACTTCCCAGTTTGTCCCAAATCAGAACTCTCTGCTCTGTCTCCCATTTGTTTCTCTCCAGAAAATTCTCAATGGAATGTTGCAACACTTCAAATCTCTTTCTTCCAACCTGCCTCCTCCTTGGACACTTACACTATTTAAAAAAGCATGTTTAGAAGGGCTTTTAAAAGGTGATTCTTCATTATCACAGAGAGGCAGCACACTTCTCCAAAAAGAACTGGAGACAAAAAAGTCTTGGCAAAATTAGGGCAAAGCAATGTGATGAATTTCTGAATTTTTGCCAAACTGGAAAATACAGAGGATAACCCATTTTTATGCCCCTCAAATACTCTCTCCACTGTGAAAGCTCATCTAAATAAATTGGGCATACAATTGTTATGTAAAACTTTTGATTTATTTGGTGCCTGACCCTCATACTTATTTATAGGAGCTACCACGTTGCATGTGTCCTTTTGAGAAGAAGCATGCAAATATAGCCATCCACAGCTTTTCAGAAATCACTGTCCACAAAAATTCTTTCTAACCCACAAATGGAAACTGACCTTGTCCTCATTTGTCCCTGACACACCATATCCCACCAAGCCTTTCTGTTCCTCATATCACGAAGCCAAGAAAATACAGGCACATGCTTGTAGCAAATACATTCTCACAATCTGTTAACTCCCGTCAATAAACTAAGTTGCTTAACGTGATGAAATCAGAAAAGGAGTGTGTGTCAGTACTTCCCAGAGGACTACACAGCTCCTCAGGTCCGCCTAAACCCAGTTTTACTGCAGGACAGCAGGCATGTGATCATTTGTATGCTGGAGTGGCAAGAAAAAAAATAAAAACAGGAACAAATCTATTGATGATGCCAGTGGAAATGCATGTATATGCATCCATGGCCAAGATTATTAGTATGTTGATTAGCATCCAAATGCTTCCATACATTGCAGCAAAACTAGCTCAGGAGCTTAAATGATTTACCTCATTGGAAAGGAAAAAAAAAAAAAAAAAGACAAGCCATTTCAATTACAGTTTGGGAGGGGTTAGAATAAGTAGGTAGAGGAGAGGAAGTCTCAGATACTTTTTCTTTGAACAAACTGTTGGTGTGTAATGTACTAAGGCATGCAGGAAGACCCGACGGCTGACGTTTACGTGTCTCTGTTTTGGTGCGTTGTCTTGGATGTAAAGAAACAGTTTGGACATTTCTTCAAAAATAATTATGTTAGGGACTAGTAAGACAAAGCCGATTCATAACTATTTTTTTTTTTTTTTATTTACCTAGTTCTAGCTGTGTTAGTGCTTAGAAACTGCTTAAATAAGCAAATGGTACACCAGAAAAATGGGTTAAGAGCAGTACTGGAGCTAGGCTTCCTATCTATCCACAGGTCTCTATCCGCAGGTCTCTAGTCTTGATACTTTGCACATCACAATCTATAATAAACAGCGTCAGATCCTATTTAATGCAGTTATTAATTACTACTTAATAGAATTTCAGTACTCACAAGTAGCTATCAAATAATCCAGTCATGGTTAGGTCTGTTTTTTCAAAACACAAGTAGCAACTTCTGCCTTAGAGATGTACCCCCGTGCCCCCCAAAAAACTAAAAAAAAAAAAAAAAAAAAAAAAACCAATGATACATCACTTGGTTCCTCCCCATAATGCTACTGGACTGCAAAGAATAGAGAGAGCACCCACATGAAGGGAATTAAAGTCTATACCTGAAATATGAAAACACATGTCATGTCTAAATTAAAAGATGGCAAATTCTACCCTAAGATACTAAAATTCACTTATGAGAAGGACTTATATAGTCAAATGTTTTTGAAGCAGGAAATTGCGCAGGACCTTTGCTTAAAAGCTTTTGTCACATTTTAGACTCCAAGAAGATAAGAACGAACTCAGTTGTTTCTTTGATCTGTAGTCCACAGCACAGGTTACAAAGAAGTTCCCTTTTCTCTGCAGCAAAAGGAGTAAATATTACTCAAGGAATACTAGAATACATAGCCCTAGCTCAATGATCTTACAGGGTTTAAGTTCTCACATTCAGGTCAAATTAGCAATTGCTCTGAGGATACTGTGAAAGAAGTAGCTTCTAGAAAGACCTTTAAGACCTTCTACTCCAAGAGTAAAAGAGGAATGGACCATGGACAGAACACTGAGTGGGCACAGTTTGAAACAAACAGTGAAAAGAGAAATACCAGAAAAGGGATTTCTGAGTGGAGTTTTACTGTTAGCCTAATTCCATATATATATATATATATATATATATATTTCTTTTCTTTTCTTTTTTGCTAACTGGTTAACACTGATTAAATGCTGATAAAGTGACAATCATAAGCATACTTTTAGAAAAAAAATATGTATACTATGCCGTCATCTCATTATAATTTAAAAAAAAAAATCTCAAACGAATTTATGAAAAGTAGAAGTCCCTCCTGGAAATGCCTGCCTGGTATCTCCTCTTAGACCATATGTTATTCTGAAAACTACATAAAAATACTATTTGTTAAAGGTGTTAAAAGTAAGGCTGCCAGGGTGTCTATAAAATGCCAGTCATCAAAACTATGGAAAACAGTGCTTAAGTTTAGAAAAATAAAATCCAAGGACCTCAGATGTAAATGGTGGTCCTTAACTTCCTGTAGTTTAAAAGTTTTGCTATATGGTACAGTGTAAAACATACTGAATTATTAATTCCATAGGGGAAGTAAACATAGAACCCACAAGTCAACTCTTCCTAGGAGTTACTGTTGAAAACAACAATATGTTTTGTGTTCCATGATCTCTAAGAACAAAAAAACTGGTTTACATTTTGAAGCAAGTTCTTCTTTGAAGAGTAAAATTACTTATACCATTTTACATTGCCAAAGTCCTACCCAGAAAACTCTAAATTCCTGCCTTCAATCGTAATCCTGAACATCAGTGGCAAATTAGAATATTTCAGGTGAACTGATATGAATCAAGTGATTTTGCAAAGCACGATATGCTTTATACCGGTGTGTGGTAGAAATAAACTGCTTTAAATTTCCACAAAATAAACAAGCCAAGTTGTCAGGAAACAATATCCCCATCCCTTCTCTCTTCTGTTTCTTCCTTACCCTAATTAGGTAGAGCAAACAATACTGTGTCCACAAAATAAGAATTGACAGTAATATTAAAAAAGAAAAGGTATGCCAAGATGGGAGGGAAGGTGGGATTGTAAGTGCAGTATTTCTTCATGTGCAGTTCTTCACTTCATAGGGGTCCCCTTTGGAATGAAAAGGCCTAGTGGAATGTGTGCTCCCCTCGAACAATGTGTGATGAAAACTCATAACGGTCCTGGCTTCTGTAGCCACAGATGTTGCATTCCAGTGGGTCCCGGTAGCCATGGCAACCCATGTGAATGGTGTACATGACATGGTCTAGGAAAAGGACTCGGCAGTGCTCGCACTTGAAGGCCCTTATCTGTTCTCCTTCCCCATTGAAAACCTTATAGATGTCCTTCAGAGAGCCCTTGGGAGCCTTGGTATCCAAGGCCTTGACATCCTCCTTCATGTAAGCTGGGCTTTGTTTCCTCTTGGGATTTAAGGCAGGGTTTCCTTGGTAGGACTGGTGGTCATCATGGCTGCTTTCTGAGTCAGTAGAATCCAGGCAGCTATTGCTGGGAGAGGCTTCTCTTTCCTGGGGTCGACTCTTTGGTCTGATGAGAGAGATGGGGCCGTCCACGTTGTTCTCATGACTATCAGCGGTTTCCCTGCTGATGGGTCTTTCTATCCTATTTGGATGATAGACCTGAGAATAAGCTGAGCTTATAACTGGGGCCACCTCAGCGATTGTGCTTGGAGGGTGCTGCATCAGAGGGTGAAGGGCCTCAGCTCCAAGGTAGGTGATTGCATTGTTGATGGCTTGGTCCATCATGTGCGACGGCATCAGCTCAGCCTCCTTCTCGTAGGTTAAGTTCATGTCGAAATGAATATCTGGGTAGCTGAATCGCATGAGCTTTTCCCCTGAAAGGAAGGGTGAGGAAAGAAAGAGAAAATTACAACAGAATTATGACTTGATAAAAAATGTAAAAAGCTAGGAAAAACATCATTTCCGTTTTCCGAATCATGTGGTATGCATGACAGTCCCCAGATACTCTGCGATGGGGGTGGCTGTAAGCCTCTGGTCACTGGGAAGTGGGCTCCACAGAAGTGAACTCTACCAAAGCACACACTGGTACTTAGCATCATTTCAATTCGAATTGCCCCAAAGACAGATCAGGGTAACCAAGAGAATAATAAAGAATTGAAAATAAAAATGAGACATCATGTCATGAGATTCTGGCTAAAATGCTGTTCAAGAGTTTCAAAGTCTAGACAGAGAAATCTGACCCATATTCTCGAAAGACCTCACAGTTTAGAGGGAACTGCAGCAATTTAAGGATCATTTGCTGTAGGCCAGGGGGTCAAACAGGGAAGTTTGTCTCATAGGAGGTAGGTAAAGGAAGACCCTCGATGGAAGTGGCACTGCCACATAAAGAAGCCCGGAGCTGCAGGCAGGAAGGCTCAGCGCGAAGGAGTCGCCTAGAGCTCAGTCAGCTGAGAATGGAAACAGCGGGGCCTGACAATTAGGTAACACACTGCGGCTCATCCAACAGCAAAAGGGATTTAACCTGAGGGCCTTAGGAATTAATGGGGTTAACAGGGAAGGGGCCTGAGGAGATAGACTAGAGGATTTGGGAAGTCGCTGTCTCATTCGCGGTGACTGAACTGGTCAGGAGAAATGGAGAAGTCATTGGAATGGAGAAAACCATAGAAAACACAGTGGTGAGAGCTGGTTTCTTATCTAGACGTAGACAATGAGAATGCAAAACATGCACGAAGCCCAGTTTTCAGGCCTAAGAAACACAGTGGAGGACGGAAGAGATGATAAATTCAGTGTGGGGAGTGCTATAACAGGCATGTCCAGATTCCTAGGACGCAGCATCAAGCTGGAGAGAAGTCTGGTTTGAGACGCAGCTAGGCGAGTCACCAGTTGACACAAGGCAGCCTGTGAAGCATAGGGCAGCAGCAGGTAAACTGTAAAAGGAGGATCAAAATAGAACCTGGGAAACAGCTTTTATGCTAAGTCAAAGAGAAGCAGCCAAATGGGATGCTGGTGCTCGCATCATGTTTAGAAAGCCATGGGCCTTGTTCCTTATGGAATAGGAATGTGTAAGGCCAAAGAAGTGTGTCTATGTCACACACTGCACAGATCAGTCTGGGTGACCAGATCCCAGAATTCCATCCAACAGTTCTGAGTATGCGTCCTGTGCCCACATCCCCTTTGTGGGGTCCATGGAGCCACATGAACAGCCATGGCAACGTGCTGTGTGCGCAGTGCAACACGGGAAGAACCCAGCTGTGCAGGCGTGAGTGTCTGCATGTGCATGAAGCATGTTTTTAGTAATGAGCAGAGCAATAGTTCCTGGACGGGCCTGGCTCTCGGCCAGGGTTGCTTCTGTTTGTGTGGCCGAGGTCTGGTGGGGAGCACCGAGGAATCTGAGAATTCTGGATTTGAACTTAGCCTGCAAAGTTAGGTGGGTCGAACGTATGTTTTTTGGCTTGATTTATACTATTGAAATATTTAGGCATATGAATGGGTGTCAGCTTAAGAGCTGAAAATGATAGATCCACAAGAATGAGAAGCGGCTCCCAGAAGTTGGAGGAAACTTAGAGGAGTTCCAAGGAAAGGGTGTGTTTCAGAAGGAGCTCATGTCCAGCGGTGGCCGTGCCATACTGAAATGGACTGAGATACAGTCTGAAGAGGGCCCACTGGATTCGGCACTCCCGACGCGGGCTGAGGCATCACATGGACACTTTCAGTGCAGCCCGGGATTGTAACGTGGGGTGCCAGGTTGTGTGGACTGGGGAGTGAACAGGAAGGAAGAAGACCACTGACAGTACAGAAAATTAAACTGCTCGTTTCAAGAGAAGGTGGAGGTTGAAGATGAAAGAAGCTTGGGTTTCAGCAGGTTTTTTCTTTTCCCAATCCTGATACTTTATCGCATTAATGCTGACAGGTAAATGAGGCCAAGGAGAAAAACACAGTGTGAGGTACTTGGGGGACCAGGATTGGATTCCAGAGCACAAAAGGAGGAACTGACCTTAATCACAAAGAGACACGCTACTTTCACTGAAACGAAGGAATGAACAGCATTATGTAGATGCACATAACTTTATAGGGTTGACAATATTAAGCTGAAATCATTTCAACTGGCTTTATTCTCTATAAATATAGGTATAAAATCTCAAGGTGTGAGATACCAAGTTTTCAGAGAGCTGAGAAAGGCTGAAAATGGCCATAATGTTGGTAAGAGAGAAGATCGTTCAGGGTTACATGACAGCAATGCTGTCACACAGTGTGGATGGGCCAGCTGACAGTTAAAATGAATCACACATTTATCTATCTGTCTATCTATCTATCTGTCTATCTATCTATCTATCTATCTATCTATCTATCTGAGGAAAGGTCTCACACTATATAGTTCAGGCTGGCCTTGAACTCACTCAGCCTCCTGAGCCCTGGGGTCACAGGCATGTGCCTCCACGCCCAGCTGAGGGCCATTTATGAGACTCTGGCACTTTCTCCAAAAATACTCGTAGCCGAGATGTAAATATCGAAAGACGTGTAGTCGGCTTCATAAAGGTGGAAAGTTTCACCCAGAGAAAGTGGCAGGAAAACAAGGCAAGTGAGTCAAGAATGTCGGCAGGACAGCGGTGCAAGCGATGAAGTGTGGAGCTTAAGTGGACAGAGAAGGGAGGACACAGGCACGTGCACGTAGCGTCCAGAGAGCACAGAGTCAACCGAGGGACACGTGGGAAAGGAATGTAGCCAAGTGTGGAGGTTAGAAATTTCACTGCAAGAGCAATCAGAGAAACAGTTACTGTAGCTATTACTTGCCTCACATTTCTAGGAGAGGCTAAATAAAGAAAAGTGCTCCAATTCTTAATAAAAGATCAAATGTTGCTCTTTTAGAACCTTACTGTAATTTTCTAAAAAAAAAAAAGTCTTTTTCCAGGCAATGTAATCAAATCAAATTGAGAGTAACTTCTCTTAAGTTACAGGAAACATGACAGAAATGTTTCAAAGAACAGACCATATAAATTCAGAAGACATAAAAATAATAAAAATTTCCTGCTTTTCAAACTACACTAGTTAAATGTAAGCATCTCCACATAATTTCCAACAAACTATAATCAATTTTAAAAATGAATGAGCTGGCTCCCCTCCTCTTTTCGTGGAAAGAACAAACAAACAGAGGAATGGTACAGAAGTTACCCAGGCAGACCTCTAAGCATCATCTCAGGCTTGTTACTGTCCTAGCACACACCGTGACCCTCAGAGTCCGTAACCGTTAGTGTCCCGGTGCTCGCTGTGACCAGACAGACTTCTCTAGTAACACAGGACAGAAACAGTCCCTCAAAGTACAGCTTTCCGTTAACGTTCTTTCAGGGAATCAAGATGTCCTATAGTGCACTGACGTGAGATAATGGCTTTATGCCATTTATTTTTATACTGTATTAAATCTGTCAGAATGGATATGCTACATACAGTGAAGAACAGTTACTTTAACAACTCTTTCTGTTGAATTTTTATGATTCATATCCATTTTAAAAATGGATGACTTTGGAATCCTCAGAGATATTCTATGACTTACAGAATACACTGGAAGGAATACCAACCCTGGGTGTATAAAGCAATATTGAAGAGTTTGGAGATTAAAAACCAGAGTCTAAATAGTTGGTATTTAATCTTTTCTGCTATCATACCTTGGAGCATGAAGCTGAAAGTAGAAAATATAGATCCATGTATGAAACATCTTCCATTTTTCCAATGCAGAATTTGGGAAAAATTTTAATGTCTCAGTGTTAAATCAAATACCCGAAGAATTAACATCATGTAGAGGAAACAGTGAAAAGCCTGGTGCGAGTGCAAATATAAAATATAGTATAAAACCAGCCAACAGGCTCGGCCAGTGGTGGTGAACTTGCGGTGTGCACGCTGCAGCTGGTTGTTCGCTCCTGAAAGCTCTAGAAGGTTCACCTCTTGGCTGGACCATTGCTCTTATTAAGGACAATTATTTTTAACATTTTTACTAAATATCTTTACATCCTGAGATGATGACTTACTACAATTAGCCTCCCCTTTTTATCTTGCGCTTCTGTTGAAGGGTCTGTGTGCTTACGTAGGATGCACAGGAAAGTCAGAGTAGAAGAGAGATGAACATTTTTTCATTTTCTGAAGTACACTATACGTATATTTCTAATATACAGGAAGTTGCATTTTTTTCAATTAAAATCACTTTGTAAAGAAACAAACGCGTTCGTGCTGCTTACCTACAAACTTTTGTGGAGTGGAGCTTTTACGTTTTCCCATATTCCCCGTGAGCTTCTCTATGACAGCAGGTCTCTCAAAAGGCACCAGAGAAATATTGTTGTCCATAATAGGCTCTTGTTCCTTACAATCTTCCATAGGAGGTACTATATAAAACCATACAAAAAGGCACTCTGATAATTTCTTCAAAACTTTGAAAGACACAGAGAGAGATCTGCCATCTCTCTATTTGTGTTATAAAAACACAAGCTAGTTAGCTTCAAGAAAAGCAAGTAGCAAGGAAAACTTCTAGGGTGAAAAAATCCTCTAATTCTATGCACACACATCCCTTCTCCCCTCTTTCCTCCTCTCTCTGGGGACTGGTTTTGAATCTTTCTAGGATCAGTGACAAACTGTTGCTACTATCTACAGCAAACACATTTATTTGGCTTGTCATCTTATTCCTCTCTCTTTTTTACAACCAGTAATACTTTAAGATGGCACTATTTTCAAGGGTTTGCATTTTAAAAAAAAAAAATCTAAGTCACTTTTTAGAGAAAAACTTATCCAGACACTCGAAATAACAGCACAATATTTAACCATTTTCCTCTCTCTGTTTCCTTTCCACTGCTGTATTTTGTACAGTAGATTTTCTATTCAGTGAACTGTTTAGCCTCATTGGCAACAGTTTAAATACCTGCACGGAGCAAGCTTTGTGAGGGAGATCCAATTCTGAACATGTCTATGCAGAGTGAACTGTGGCAGCTTTATGATAGTAATTTATCTTATAAAGAGCTCTTCAGGAGGATAAAAGAATCCATCTCCAAATCGGCACACTGGCTGACTAAACTACGGCTCTAATTCATTGGACACACACCCTCCCATGCTGCGGTCTCTTCCTCCCATTTGTCTACGTTTCTATGGCGTAACACGTTAGTCCTTAGACACTAACACTACACACTGACATTTACCGTGTAGACAAGGAACTTATAAAAATTGCTTTGAGTAGAAATACTGTGCAGAGGATGTTTAAGACATTTCAGACAGATCAGTTGATGAACAGTAGTGTTCACAGAAAAGGTTTCCTATCTTAAGTCTCTCTTCACTTGGTCAGCATGTGTTTCAAAACAGTTTACTTCAACTCATTCATTGTTATAAAACAGTCCCAATGTGTGACACACAAGGCATTCTCACTTGTGAGGGCTCCAGCTGGCTATCGCTAGAGATAAGAGAGCAAAGACAAACGTGGAGAAAACTGAGTACACAGCAGGTGACCTAAAGGTTGATCTTAACAAGAGACACAGAAGCTGGAGACGTGGCCCAGTGGTAGAGTACCTGCCTAGCATGTAGGAAGCCAAGGGTTCAAAAGACAAAGAGAACACCTTTGGCTATGAATAGCAAAGAATGTGCCAATGACTGGATGTTAATTTGGAAAAAAATACGTAGTCTGAGTTGAGATTCAATAACAAAGAAATGTGTCATTTTCTTTGCTGATATTATTCATATTAGCCAGTGGAAAAGATATATACCAACATATTATGCAATTTTTTAGCAACTAAAAAATTACTTAAAATAAAATAAAATGGCTCAATTAGAAAATTTAAGAATGACTACAGTAATTCAGATGAAGGCAGTCAGGAACAGAGCAGCAGCAGTGATGTGGGGGACGTATAGATGTTATGACACACAGACTAAGGTTTCGGGCAGTAGATCCACAGTACTTACTATATTATTAAAATAAGTACAAAACTATGAAGCAATTTATATGTGAACCAAAGATGAAAATACATATCCAAAAAGACAAAAATTTGGTCACTGTACATTTTGCTTTTAGCAAAAGTAGTTACTAGGGTTTGCCCCCTAAATTGAATATGCTAATTAGTTCTGAAATGAGTAGTCCAACCCTCAGCAGTTCTGCTCTAAATCTCACCCTGAATTTTCATATTTGGACATATTTAACACTCAAAATGAAACCCAAGTGTGGGAACTGTCCCATACCACATCCACTCAGTTCAGATGATCTGTCCCAAGTTCAAAGAAATTTCTGTAAACTAAAAACAATGACTTTGGCAGAGCACTGCACTAAATTCTACTTTACAGTCATTTATATAAAAATCTGATTTTTTTTCTCTACCATACTCACAATAACTGACAAATAGCTGATGCTAAGTACTGTTTCAAGGCTTTGCATTTAGTAATTTATTTCCTCCTTTGAACAACCCATGAAATGGGTACTATCTTCATTTTATAGATGGGGAAACAAAGATTCAGAGATTTTAAGTAATTTCCTCACTGTTGTATCAGGTTAGTATGAGATGTTACTACTAAAAAGTGAGGTTCTTCAGTCTGGGCTCTTAACAGTTCTGAAATATTCTTTATTTTTAAAAATTTTTTGATTTGTTTTGAACACCAGTGCCTTATAGATTAGCTTGAAACATCTGTAAGGTCTTGTCATTGCATTTTCCCCTGATTATGTAATCTGAATTTTTTGCTTTCTTGAATTCAGGAGCAACTCAACAAAATGTTTCTGAATATATATTTCTTAAAACGTGAAACCAATAGATACCATTATCTCAACTGCATTCATCACATGATAAGATGTTTACTCAGGTTTTAAAAAAATATTCTAACATGCTAACTTCACATTTTTGACCATGCGTTATGAACAAACATCTTCTTTGACCTTAACTGAAGTTATAACCAGGGTAAAAATATGCTTCCACTTGCATTATTTCCTTACAGTGATAAACCATAAAGGCAAAAACCATAAGAGGATTCCCAACTTAGCTTTGTTTTCTTAACAAACAATCCACTCAAAATACAAATTCCAGAAAGAAAGAATGAAGGATGGGCCTGGGTCACAGAAGACAGGCAGGCAAGAAGTAGCTGTCTTCTATCTTGTCACCAATTTTCTCCATGTTGATAAATGTAGGTTAAAAAACAAAACAAAACAAAAACACTGAACTCCAGTTATTCTGAGTTGTTTTTTTGTGATAACACTTGACAGTACTGACACGTGGCTTGGCTTCTATGAAGTCACTCTTCCACAGGCCTACTTTGCTCTTTCTCATCTCGTCTTCATGGTTTTCGTTTTCCCTCTTGGCTGTTACTGAATTTCTGGATGCCTCACTCTGTACTACCCAACTGCTTATGCTGTGGTTTAGAGATGACTCGTTCCCCTAAAGATTCAGGCACTGGCAGTGTGGTCTCTAATGTGACAGTACTGGAGGGAAGTGGGACCTTGATCAGGCACTGGAGCATAACCCTCTTGAAGGATTAACACTGGTCTCCCTGAGTGGGTCAGGTCAGTGCATTCTTCTCAGTAGTGCAGGCTATTATAAAAAAAGTAAAGCAGACCTATATCCTCTTTGTTCTCTTGCTTATTCTGTTTCCTTGTGACGCCCCCATCTTGTGCAGGATCTTACACTAGCTGCATGCGGCCCTTACTGAAAGTCAGTGTGGGCTCCATGATCTGTTGTGCCTCTGAAACCAGAAGCCAAAATAAACCTTTTATTTATAAAGTACCCAGACTAAGGTATTTTGTTATAGCAGCTCAAAATGGACTAAGACACCTTATTAAAATCTATGACTTCAGGCTACCATCTATAAAATGAAGGCTGTGACAGTCAACTCTGATCCAGAGGTTAGGAGTTCAAGATCTGTATATACAACTTTCTTCTCTTCAGTTCTACCTGTTCACTAGTTTATCTCATAGGCACATCACAGATATGTTCAAAAATGGAAATCTCCCTTTTCCTCCTCAAATTTTTTCATATTTTCATAATTCCCACCTACTTGGTATTCTACCATGCACGCTAGATACCTGTGGCAAATCCTGGATTTCTCCCCATTCCATTTCCTACCTGTCCCCCCTCCACAGCTCCTTACAAACGCACACATGGAGGTACCCTGTGGTTTAGAGTCGGTGTGCGTAAATACATCGTTACCTTTCTATATATTCCAGGCTACTATGCCCACCGTGACCACTGTAACAGTCTCCTAACTGGACTACTTGTTTCTGAATTCCTCTGTCTCCCATACTGTTACTAATACAATGTAGATACAATGGTTATGGTTTGAGTCTGGATATCCTACCCCCAAAGCCTCATGCTGTCATGGAGGAGGATTTTTAGTTTGTGAATGACTCATGATCCAATGCTGGGGTTCTTGGTGTGACTGTGGCCTACATACAATATAAGGGACAGCAAGGGTCTTCTCTCTGTGCTCCTCCCCTTTTGCCGTGGTTACTTCTGGTATCTGCTGCAGCCCCAGCTGATTATGGACTGAAACCTCTACAATCTGCAAGCTGAACAGAAGAACCTTTTTCTCTTTATTTTGAGTGTCAGGTATTTTGTCTCAGCAATGAGAGAAAAGTAACCAAGACAATAATCTTACTTAAAAAATTCTCTGTCTAACATAAAGGCCCTCAATGTTCTGTCCAGACCCTTTTCCTACAAAGTGGGTTCCAATTGTATAAAGCTACATGCAGGTTCTTTTTTTTTAAATTGGTACCGGGGATCGAACTCACGACCATGTGCTTGCAAGGCAGGCACTTATGCCGCTGAATCCCCAGCCACATACATGTAGGTTCTTAACCCTCCATCCTCGTTTAGACTTCTATTTTTTCACAAACACTGTTCTGAATAAAATACTATTCTCCACTTAGCAGCTTCTTATTTTTACTTTTCAAAACTCAGCTCAAACCTAGGCTGACTTAGCATGTTGGATGTGCCCTCTCAGCCTCAAGAGTACTCACAAATAACCTTAGGAACTGCACTGCATTCAATCTGCTGTCTCTATTTTCTTTTTCAGCATGAGAAAAACAGGATAGATGGTGGCTATCATATGGCTTAATGAAGGAAATGATGCTATCCAATGGAAACAAGTGAGAAAAGCCACCTAGAAAGTTTGCAGGGTCCCAATTATACCTTGAAGGCTGAAAGAAAGAACTCCCTTTTGCCCAAATAATTGAAAGCATAAACCTAAGAATACCCAATAGCTTTGAAGCTGGCTACCTTTCTGGTTCACACTTTCATTTCTACCGTCAGGCAAGGAGGAGAAAAGGTAATGACAGTTTGGTTTTTAAAGCTTTTTTCTTCAAGCTGAATAGACTTGAAAAATGAGCATAAAGATAACATTCAAATAAGAAGTAATCTACCATAAAATCATTGCACTGTTACCTTTATTTCTGAAATCAAAAGTCACGAAATTCCTCCCTTTTCCTCAAACTCAGTCAACACTGAGCAACTTTTTACCTCCTCTAAATACATCTTCAGTGTTTCTACTTGCTCCCTTCTATTACAGTCCTCTCGTCTTTTCCTTGGCTAGCACTCCCAGGCTCTGCTCACGCTAGCCTCCTCTGTTAAATCTGATTATTCCGGAGCTGAAATTCCTCCACTGGATTTGCATTAAATGCTCTGCTTCTGCATCAGAACCCACTTCAGTCTATGCCACCATTCTTTCAACCCTAGCAATGTGCAATGATGTCAAGGAATCTGCCGAGGTCTTTTCTACCTTCAAGCCTCTTTTATGCACGGAAAACATAGTCTGTTAGACATATTCAGTTTTTACTCACTTCCTATGCTCAGTCAATCGATGATGCATGCAGGAAGCCCTCCTTGATTTCTCCATTGGGTGAGCCCTATGCCTGTACTCCTAGAGGATTGGGGACACATCTTTATATTACAACTTAAGTTTCATTTTATTATTTTTAAAATGAATTTCCTACCACCATGTAAGTGTGTGCAAGAAATTTGTGTCTATTTATCTTTACATCCCCAAAGTGTTCGTTGGAGTTTGGCAAACGGAAGCCTGGTGATAACGGTTGCCTGAGTGGCGGGAAACAGTGCCCTTTTCCCCAACAGCTCCTTCCTCAGTAGGAAAGGCGGTGTGGGGAAGCAGGCATGTTTTGGAGAAGAGAAGCTGGGAAACAGAGTCACGTCAGCTGTGAAGAGGCGTTCACCAGCCACACTGATGGCAACCCTCACTCCTAGCACTAAAGGTGAAGCAAACATCGGGGCAGGCAGCAGCGCAGAGAGGAGGGAGGGGCGTCTGCTGTCATCGTGGCCGGCTGCACACTGCACACTGTGTATAGCACATGCGATCGGGGTGAAATCTGGGGGTGTTTCCCCAGCTTTCTCTCTCATGGCACTCATCAACTGCTCCCTCATACGTTCCCTATGAAACGTGTTAATAAGGATGACTGATAATCTCAACTTTTTTGACAGATGGTATAAAATGGACTCGATATTCTGCTTACTGTGGTTAACACAATATGCAATATTTAAGAACAAATACTCAAGTCTAGCAGTGACCCCAGAATCGCCCCCCATCCTTCACTCCTGGGCTTTGCTTTGCGCCCTCTCCAGTGTCCCCCAACTCCCTCTCACTTGTCCCTACTCTGCCCAGCTTCAGCACCACCGGTAAAGGGCTGAGGTCTGGGAAGGGCGACATCATCTGCAAAATTGGGGCCAAGGCAGAAGCCCCAGCTGTTTAAGATGAATGTGCTTTCTGTCTCCAAAACACACTTCTTGTTGTTTTTGGTCAACACCAATTCTATGAAAGGTCCATGTGCCAGAGATAATGTTGATTCTAATTATCTATTTGTACCTTCTTCCCCATGACAATTTAAAGTCCTTTAGGAGAGACTCTATTTCTTTTTCAGGTATGTGTGCTATGTAGAATTCCATAAATAACTAATTCAAGAAAGAATCAACATAATTTGTAAATGTATTCCAATCAAATGTCAGGACCGCAATGGGAAAATGTGATGAAATCACATGCTTTCACATGCTCCTGAGCCTCCAGCAGCTCCCTGCATCAAGTCCCCCTCAAAACCCATAATTTACCTCAAAAGGTTTTTTTGTTTTGTTTTGATTTTGATACTGTGAGTTGAACTCAGGACCCTGCTCTTGCCAGGCAGGCGCTGGGCTGCTGAGCTGCATCCCTAGCCCCCCAAATGGTATTCTAAGTAGGCAAATGAAAACTCCACTCTGCACACTGATACGTTACAACTTTACAGGGAATGGCACATTTACTGTTTCTTAGCACTTAATACTCTGAAATATAAGCCCTACTTTGGGGCTATTTACCGCACATCCAACTTCACTGCCTTCTCCTGAATAACACACTTAGATACCACACAGCCAGACCAGGTTTGCTGGACTCCAAGGCCCCCATTTAATAACCTCCAGCTACCCTCATATGCCTAGGTCGTATGAGTTTTCAGTACCAAATTTACTAGCAGTTGAAACACAGATTTACACAAGTTGTTAGCTAACAATAATGTAACAATTGATGGACTCAATCAAAAAATGAATGGAAGAGAACCTGTTCTCCATACAAGAAAGTGCTTATTTAGGATTAATAGTAAATATTTTAAATTTTTAAAATGCCCAACTCAACTACAAATAATCAGCAACTCCCTGGTAAAAACAGTTCCATAGTATGTACTACACAAAACAAAACTATCAATAATTATTCTTGAGCTGGATATGTATGTTAATAAATGAATACTTATATTTTAAAAATAAGTAAACTATATCATTTAATATTGGTCAAACTGCTTACATGAGGAATATAAATACATTAACAAGTTAAGATTTTATGGGTATTTGGGTGAAAAATAAAATCAGTCCTGAAAGAAATCTAATTAGTAAAACAACAGACACCACAAATGAGCTGAAATTCATTACTTTCCTTTGTAGGCTGGTACTACAGTTAGTTTTTCAGGAATTGAGAATTATTACAGCTGATAAACCTCGGGTAATGCCTGCCTGCCTGCCACAGTGTACAGCTTTGTGGAGATGAGGATGTCTTGCTTTGAAAGTATTTTTTATGGAGGGAGATAGGGTCTAATTTAGGTCTAGATTTTTACTGACATGCAAAATTATAAGTTTCTCAGATAATTTATGGAATAGATTGGAGAACTTTCGTAACACAGAAGAAACACTGCAAACAACCAACTCAATTTTTAAGGAAACTTACAGACTTACATGGGACTGGCTATAGCATCTGACTAAAGAAATACAAGAGAAGGGTAAATATTCCCTGCTTTTGGCACATTAGTGGCCAGCTGCCCCCATCATGTCCATTCAGGCACATGCTATCAGAAAGAATTTGTATCATAAAAATTCCAATGAGTTGGTTTGCAATGTTCCCTAAAACTGGGCTCCTTTTAAGCGCTTTAAGAAGGTAATGTCACAGGAAGTTAACATGATCTAAAAGTGTTTGAAACCAAGATTTTTATCGTCATTTAAAGGGGGAAGGCAACTGAGCCTATGAAAACTACAAAAGCAGGAGCGAGGGAATGCAAGCCGCGAATGCTGCTGCTACCCACCATGGTGACTCATGACCTGCCCGGCAGCCTCCATGCCGACATTCTGCAGATAGTTGTGGCAGCGCTCTTTGTGCTCCTCCAGGGAACTGCGCTGCTTGTAGCTCCGTCCACAGTAGTTGCACTTGTGAGGTTTTCCCACTGCGAAGAGAACTCAAGGTTAGGATGTTGTCGGTCTCTTGTACCCTCAAGATAACAGGTAACTTTTCACAGGTTGGAGGAAGCACTGTATGCTTTTCAGACTTAAGTCTCTTCCTCTTCCACATTCCAGTCTAGGCAAGCAAAGATAATAAATATCTACAGAGACGAACAGGCAGCAAGACAACGAAGGGGCAGATCAGACCTGCGGCGACAGGGGAAACACTGAATCAAACTCATGCTCTGACTGTATTCTGACCCTGAAGGGCGGGTGATCAATTTTTAAGTTATCTGACTCTCACCATGCTTACTCTTACTCAATTATGTCAGCTTTGACTCATTCAAAAGGCAAATCAGGAGCATCCTAGACACATGATGAGTTGTGGGTTGATTTTTTTTTTTTTAATTTTTTGGTTCTGTTTTTTGGTAAGGCAGGGAATTTTTCTGAAAAAAAAAAAAAAAAAAAAAAAAACCTAAGTGCAACAACTTGAAATGTCACTGTCTAAATAAAAAGAGATTATTCATGGGTACCAAGAAAAGAAAAAGAATTCAAGTGGTGAGGAAATGGTGCAAATAAAAGCAGACAGTTTCCCTTTTCTTTCTGTCCTGGCAGTGGCTGTTCACACATGCAAAACTTTAGAGCCCACATGTGCTTTCCCACATCAGCACTACTTTTTGAATATGAAGAACTGGCCTACTTGGTGCTGGGAATCAGGGTTAGTAAGCCCTAACATATTAGGTTGCAATGACATTGATGTTTTCCAAAACATCTCACATTCAGGAAATTAATTTTTCCCTAATAGTGATGGATCTATTATCTCAGATCTATTAAAATAGGTACTGAGATAGTCCTGTAGAAACTTTAAAAAATTGATTAAGAAGAAAAAGAAGTCCTTATTTAAACAGGCATATTTTAATATATGATTGTTCATGAAGATTTCACCGAGCACTTTGATTCCTGGTTTTAAACAGATATAGAGCAACAGAAATCACCAAGCAGTCTGTGCCAAAGCCCTGAGTCAGAAAGCACAGTGTAAGCAGGCCGGTGGCTCTCATTTGACTCCCAGCAGACTCATCTAGTTTTGCCCAGAGGATAAACAGCTCTTTCTCACGACTGGAGATAGCATCCTTAACTCCAGCCACCTTACAAACCACAGAGTGACACTGGTCACAAGAGAAGCCTAATACTGTAACAGGAAAAGTATTCAAGGCTCCCTAACAGTTTCACTGTACTGATGAAAAACAAATTAAAATCAGTTATTTCACAATCTTATTTTTGTAAACATCTAACAATAAAAGTTACTGGAAGTATGATTAGTCATTTAAAAACAAAGACCAAATAATTATTGTATTTAGAACTAAAGATTTCTGGGACATAGCTGTAAATATTGTGTATGATTTATATCACTACTTGAGAACATTAGAAATGTAAGAAAAATATTTTTTGTCCTAAGAAGTGGACATAATATAACTTTATTTACAAGTAATTATATTCCAAGGCATGGAGTTACATTACAAAAAGTCTGTTTGCTTCTGGCATTATTTTTTAGAAACAGTGATGAATTTGCACTAATTGTATTAGCCAGTTAATACTTATTAAGCACTTACGCTGCAGTTAGTATTCTACTGTGGAACAGCTCAGTCGTCTCCTGGTCTTCCCTAGTCTTAGGCCTGTCAGGGAGTCTTCCAGTGCCTCTGTTACACTGAATATGCTCTCCTATACCAGTGGTGGCGAACCTATGGCACACCATAGATGGTTTTTCTTTTAACACAAAAGATGTTAATGGATGAGTTGTTTTTTCTAAGCTAAAACCCCAGTATCAGGTTTAATTGCAGTGCTGGCACTTTGCGATAAGTGGGTTTTGAGTTTGGCACTCATCTCTGAAAGGCTCACCATCACGGTTCCCCTTACTTCTCCGTAAGCAACTTTTGTTTCTCCTCGACTGAACTGAAACCTAGTCCACTCTCCTCTGGGTTCCCAACCTTCTATAGAGTTTCAATTCACCAGATGAGGAAAGGATGGCAAGATGACTTATGTTTTACTGTACTCAAGTCATCTTCCAGCCAGCCTCAGTTTTGAAAGCCGCCCTATCTGTTTTATTTCTGCTTTTCCCATTGTGTCACTGATTTATTTTAAAACATCACTCCTTCCTCTTTATCCCATCCTTGTTCTCAGCGAATCCAACAGGGAAGGATCTGAATAACTGCTTTGAAAGTATAACCTCATTTCCTCACTTCTTCATCTTTATGTTACTCCAACCCAACCCAACACATCCACCTATCAACCCATCTAATTCCAACAGCCCAAATGTGCAGGATCTGGAGGGCAAATTTCCACTCTGCCTGTTGTCAGGCAACCACCACTCTGCTGAGGAAGTGAGTACTCAATAAATACACAGGCGATACACTTCAGATTGTGGTGGGTTCTACAAAGCAAATGGTGTACTAGCCTCGGATGGAGAACCTATTTTACTTGGAGAAGTTTGCACAGGAAGGTCTGTTGAGATGGTTCACTTAGGTGATAAACGAAAAGCAGTTTGTCAGAAAATTTGGCTGTTCTTGGTGGAGTGCTAGATGCGGTATATCAGAACTTCTGAAAACTGCCACCTGTTTTCCTTCAAAGGTCCCATTTTGCCGTTGACTACTCCTTGGAGACTTTTTTTCCCCCTCCAAGCATCAACAATCAAGCTTTGCCAACTCCAACGACTCAACTCTCCCCACAAAACCATTTCCATCACTTCTTTGAAATTAAAAATCAAGTTCATGCAGATACTGTTTATAAGGAGTCTGCCGAAAATGTATACACAGTTCAGGAAAAGAAAAATGTCATGGTTTTAAATAGACGGTTGCTCTAGATGATGTCATGTATCACAGAAGACCCACTACACTGCTGGTCCTCAGAGAAGAACTTAACATGCCAGTGCAGTGATCGCCATAAGCAGCAGTGGACTGCAGCAGTAAATGCCTGGAGGCTGATGGTCACCACTGCGAGCACCTCTGGTAACTGTGGAGACCAAAGGCAACTTGTATTAATCTTACAGTGTCTCAATAAATTTAGTATGAAGATATTTAAACAGGTTTTTCTTTTTCTGAAGTGTATACGCTTTTTTTTGGCAGACTGTATTTACTCTATCTAAATGATGCTTATATGTCAGTTACGTCTATGATTATAAACAAACACATATCATAATTTAACATGTATAACATGTATTAATCAGAAGAGGACAAATATTGTTAATTTCATTTTTAAAATAATTACTATTACACAGCCCCGACAACAGAAACACCACCATTTTGATATTACTGATACACGTTTGAAAGTCAGTGGCCTCTCAGTCTCTAAATCCAGTGGACTTTAGCAATCCTAAACCTTCCTAAATCCTTCGTCATCACCAGACTGTCTCGGGTTTCCACTCCTGTTTTAGTTTCTGGGATCAGAGTCTGTGTTCACTCTCCCTGGCTTCACAACCTCTTTGCACCTTGCAGATAAACGCATTCCTACAGGTTCTGTTCCCAGCTCAGCGTTCTTCCCTTTTGCTCTCTGGGTAACTGTTTCTATGAGATGCCACCTCATGCCGAGTAATCCTTCATATCTGTCAACTACGACTGACCCTGTCCACCACGTGTCTACAATTCCAGAATTCCCTCCAAGCTGTAATTAAAACAGCTTTCTACTCCGTGCTGTCCAGCTGATATTTCACTTGAGATGGATGTGTTATAGTTATTCATTTGATGTCTATTCATTTCCTGATTCCAAATAAGGAACTGTAGACACTGAGACCATGTTTTACTCAGTTTTGAATCCAGAATGCTCGTGGCAGTCACTAAACATAGGACACACTCTGTATGTACCTACCGAGTGGCAGCACTTCAAGTTTGTATTTCTCACTGTTAAGTACCACCTGATGGATATTCCCCTAGAATCAATCTAACGTTCGAGGTATTCACAAGTATCTTCCCACACAGAGTTTCCTCTTGCTGTGCATGCCCGTCCAGGCTGGGTTCCCACTGCTGTAAGTCTAACAACCGTGACTTACAGCAAAGCAGTCATGGTGGCCTCTCATCCTTTTTCTTGCATCCGAGTAACAGCTAAATTCTAGGTGCCCCCCCCAAAAAAGGTAGCTAGGTACTCAGCTACTCAGCCTCTCTCAGTTGTATCTCATTTTTACAGTTGTTGTTCTATTTCCCATGAGCATCATCGCTAACCCGGGACAGCGTGCCGTTCCAGGTATCAAGCAGGACTTCTCTTCCTGCTCACAATCACTTAACTCCCTGCTGACAGCTTTCAGTGATGGCTGACTTCTGTTTCATCCTCTAACTTCTTTTCTCTGCACAAAACTTAATCCTTACGAAATTAAGTCATAATACACTGTATTTTACAATCGTATTTTATTGAAAAATATATTCGGAATAGTTCCCTGTCATGAAATTTTTTTTTTTGGTACTGGGGATTGAACTCACGACCTTGCGTTTGCCAGGCAGGCACTTGTGCTGCTGAGCTAGACCCCTGGCCCCCTCAAGAAATACTTTTGTTTCTACTATTTGGTAACAATTTTCTGTCAGATCCTAGAATTATAGTTAATATTAAATTACTCTGACTGGCATTCTTAGTTCTTTTTTTTTTTTTTTTTTTTTGTTTAGTGATTTTTTTTTTTTTAACCACTGATACATATGTTCATACTTGAGGAAAAACTAGTCTTAAAGAGAACTTAGAATTTAGTGAAATGCAGACTCTCCATCCAGGCTGGCACCTAAAAATCTAACTATAATATGGAAAAGCAGCCCCCCCCCCCTTTTTTTTTTGTCTTTTTCCTTTTTATCGGTACCGGGGATCAAACTCACGACTGCCTGCTTGCAAGGCAGGTGCTTATGCCGCTGAGCTAAATCCCCAGCCCCTAAAGCAGCCATTTTCAATACCTTCTAGTTTATACATCCGAATTCCTAAGTAATACTCAAATTTTTCTTTTCACCAGGTTTAAACATAATGTATTTGCTTTGTGTCT